CACACACACACACACACACACACACACACACACACACACACACACACACACACACACACACACATATATATATATATATATATATATATAAATAAAATCTGCATGTTTAAAAATCAGGAAAAGCTAATGTGGAGAATTTATTGTTTATTGAGAAATGTATTTGTTTTCTCTAGTTCCTTTTTGTTGTCTTGCCTATTTATATTATGTACAGTATTACTTTCTCCATGTAGCTATCACAATGCGATTGTGGCCTTTACAACAGTTTAGAAATATAGGTAGTCCTTGGTTAATGATGGTAATTTCTAACTCCGTTGCTAAGTGACATGGTTGTAAATGATATCATGTTACCATTCAGTTTGGTTCTTGCAGTTCCAGTTGTGATTGTTCAGTGAATCCCAATCATTAGGTGTGGTGTCATATAATTGCTATTGTGACTTCCTGCTGGCTTCCCCATTGACTTTGCTTGTCAGAAATTGGCAGTGGAAGTTACAAATGGTGATCACATGACTTCAGGACATTGTGATCACCAACACTTTGAGAATGGCGATAAGTCTCCTTATGAAACATCATTCATCCCTTCAAATAGTCGCTGAACAAATGGTTAATTAAGATACCTGGATTGGAAAAATTAATATTTATAATAAAAATATTTGGAGGTTCAGTCATAAATTTTGAAGAAAAAAACCCCAAATTATAATGCATTAATTTAAAAGAAATATTTTAAAAAATGATTTGAAAATGACTTTTTAAACAAATATATCTGTAAGATCCATGAATACAAATCTTACATAAATTTAAAAACTTCTTTTACGTTATGCTTCCCTTCGCTTCACAAATATGTCAGATGTGTCTTACTTAAAATCGTTAAACTTCACAAACATTTCTTATAGCTACATGTCAACATGTGTATAAATATATGATTATAAATATAACATGTTAGGCAGTAGAATCCTTTGAGCATCATACCAAAATCAGTTGGATTCCTTGACATTTCCTCCTGGACAGCAAAAAAAAAGAAATATTAAAAAAAAGTTGCCCCTCTGTTTTATATGCAGGTTTTTACCACCCATAGTCACAGTGGAATTAGGCAGCTTATACATTTAATAAACAAATCTAAACTTGGTACATTATGAATTATGAAATGCAGTTCACATAGTTGAGCAATTCAGTATGTGAAGAATGAAATACGAGCCCTGTTCACTAAACCAGACTGCCTCAATCTTTTATCCTAGAGGAATCTTTATCGTATTTTAAGCTTCAAGGAACCCTACATAAACATTACAAAAAAGATGAAAAGTTCATAATACAATTCACTTCTAACCCACACAATTTATAATGTTTACAACAACAGCAAAAGTAGGCAGAGTCTGATATACAACGTGTAAAATTCTCCAATATTTCAAGGACCTACCATTGTGTGATGTGTAATGTTAAAAAATGTTTCTCTTTTTGTTTTCAAACATAACCTTCATGCTTCTTTTAATTTTTTGCTTTTTTTTTTTACAATAAAAGCTTTTATTAGGCTAATGTACTTATTTGAATAGATTCCTTATGTAATATCTAATGTAACCGAACAGTAGTCTAGTTCAATTATTCCAGTAGTGAATAATTAAAGAATAATTCAATTTTTCTATCATAGATTATAGTCATAGTTTTTAAAATCTTCTATAATATGATCGACTTTTAGTGGGAGTGAACCATAGTTTACTGTGTGGTGTGTCAATTAGATAAAATGGTATTTTCCATAAACACTTTGGGTCCGTAGCAGAGCATGAACAGTTTGAACGGGGTACTAATAAAAGAGAATATTTGTAGGCAGGTGTGGGTTGCTACTGGCATTACCGTCGGTTCGACGTGCAAAAAATTTACACCTAAAAAGGTCTGTGCATGTGCAGAATGTTAGAAAAGGGGAAAATTACATTTCTGCAATGGAGATTGTTCTGCTCATGCACAGAACCAAAAATCAAGATGGCGCCAATGACAATAGAACTGATTCATGTGTGTGGGCGGCCGAGTTACTACCTTCTCAGCTGAACCATTCGAACCAGTAGGAATCCACCTCTGTTTGTAGGTCAGGATTGATATGAAGGATCCTTGGTACTCTGGATTGTTTTCTTGCAGATGTTTCATTACCCAAACTAGGTAACATCATCAGTGCTAGTCATCAACATCAGTAATTGAATATCTGCAAGTAAACAACCCAACTCAGAGATCACCAAAGACCCCTCGAGTTTGAATTGGGACTTATCCTCTGGTTTACAGGCAACATGATGGATTTAGAACTGCCTCATTTTAAAGCTGCGGCAGAAGGAATTGGAACACAAATAGCCAATCATGAGAATTAAAGGTACCTAATCCTGAATCCAAACCACAATTGGGCATTGTATGTGTCTTTTATAAAAAAAAAATAGAACAATGCTTTTAATGAACCCTCTCAAGTCTCATGTAGGTGGCAAAATGAAGAAAGAAGTAACAATTCAATAAAGAGTCTTCAATACTAGTTCACGATAAAGCTGATTCTTGGAAACATTAATAAGGATTTCCCAGGGGCTTTTTTAAAAATAGTGTCTTAAGGCAGACTCATTAGCTCAGAATTTGGTACCATCACCGCAACTCGTTTGTTGCAATGTGCTCTACATGGACTGATCTCAAAGTCCAATGGGAAGTTATAGCTGGTAGAAAATGCACTGGTGTAAGAACCTTCTTAGTAAGCCCATGTGTCACCATTAGCTGCATTGTTTTCCAGTTGGCTTCCAGCTGTAATTCAAGGTGCTCGTCATTACCTATAAAGCAGTTCATGGCAGAGGACCTGTTTATTTGAGGGACTGTCCATCTCCCCTTGTTTCTGGTACATTCTGGCAGAGTGGGCACGCTCCAGATCCCTTCCATTAAACATTGCCATTTTACAGCACTGGAGAAGCATATGCCTTTTCTGCTGTGGCACCTATTTCTGGAACATAATTCCCCTGGATATCAGATTTCCCCAAACTGGCCAGCTTTTTGTAAGGAAAAAGCTTTAAGTTCTATGATGATACCACTAACTTCACAGACATTACTCATAAGAATGACCCGACAAATGCGCGCACGACAAAAGTGCACCGGCAAAACCGCGGAACAAAAGCCGTGGAACTAAAACTGCGACATCATCAACGCGCCGACAACAGCGCACTAACAGAAGCACGGTTTAAGTTAAGGTAAGGGTTAGGGTTAGGGTTAGGATTAGGGTCAGGGTAAGGGTTAGGGTTAGGGTTAGGTTTAGAACGCGCTTCTGTCGGCACGCTGTTGTCAGCGCGGTTTAGAACTCATGGTTTAGAACTCGCGGTTTTGTCACCGCGGCTTCATCGGGCGCGCTTTTGTCGGGCACCCTTTTGTTGGTGAACCACTCATAAGTACATGACTGTACTAATGTGAGAAAAAGAGGATGTTCTCTTGCAATAGGGAGAGATGATACACTGGAGAGAAATGCAAGTGTATTTACAGTAGGGAAACCCTGATAATTTAGTAGGAAACTATGGGAGAAATAAGATTATTGAGTCAATCACCAGTTAAGGAATTATATCGATACTCTATCTTGTGTTTGGCTACCAAATAGAACTAACAGAATGAAGTTCTCTGTGTTTGAAAATAACTAAAGTACCCTGATGGTTTTTAGGATCACCAGATCATTATGGAGTAAGTGCCACTGGACATAAATACAGTGTATATATAAGCTCTAAAAAGTTCTAAAAAACTAATAATTCATGTATGCACTGTCAAATAAAAATAGCAGTTGAACTTAATTATAGACAAACTTTCAAATTAAGTACATTTCTGTTACACGTCAAAACCTCATATATTTTTTTCTGATATCACTTCATTTTAAAATTTTCCAGATAAAGGCTCATATTCATATAATCCAGGTAATTTAAAAGCATGCTACTTATCGCTTGTGGGTTTTTTTCTAATGCTATTGATGTGCTTCTGCTATTAGTTGTGGTCCAGTTCAGTTGCTTATTTGTTCTTTGGATTCTTATTCTGTTTTTAAAAATTAGACTTTATCCTTGCATTATTTCTAATTGTACAGTTTTTGCTAGTGATATAAACAGTTTGCTAAAAAAAATAGAACAGCTTCCTAACTATTCATTCACTGTGTTTCAATATAAAGTAAATATAATATTAATATCTTGATAGTACTTTATGACAAATTGTGTTAAATTTAAAAATTATACTAATATACTAACTACTTACTTATAATTCCTTACTGATATGACACTATACAGGAATATTATGGAGCAATAATGTGTCCTTTATAGTATCAATAATATCAATCATAAATTATATGTGTACACTTATAAATAATTCTCTTCCAGCTGTGTTTTTTAAACCCAGTAAATAACTAATCTTATTTGTAATAATCGTAGCTCTATAGTATTATTTTTTATAACTGTTGGAAGACCATTTGTTTTGAATTAGAAATTTGATTAGAAATGGATTAACTTGAACTTCTGAGAAATATTGTATTTAAATGAAACCAGTATAGAATTGGATATAATTTCCTAAATCAATTCAGCAAATAAATATCTCAAATTTTCTGTTTTACATCAAATTAAATCAACCTTCCTTTAAGACCCTAAATGGCTTTGGACCTGGTTTTCTGAGGACCGCCTCCTCTTTCAACTCCTTGGTCATCCGGATTAAATTTCATGTCCTTGCTTTAGCAGAAAGGCAACATTCATGCAAGCATAGTGTGTAAGATTGTGTATGAATCTTGAGAAGGTAGTAGGGCAGGGGTGTCAAACTCAAGGCCCAGGGGCCAGATTTGGCCCATGGGGTGCTTAGATCTGTTTCCCCTCTGTTTGTTAGCCGCCCTGAGTCCCTCGGGAATAGGGCGGCATACTAATTGAATAAACATAAACAAACATAAACATAAACATGTTAGAAAAGGCAAAAGGGGAATGTGTGTTTACCTGAGGAGCAGGAGTGGGATGCAAAACTTTTAGCAACAGGTTCTCTGCCGGGTTGCTGGGTGGGTGTGGCCATGGTGGACGTGGCCTACTCAGCCTCCTGAACCATAGCAGAGGCGGAGCTTCCACCCTCCTCAGGCTCTGGAGGCTGAAAACTGGCCTGTTTCTGGACTTCTGGAACTTCTGGGAGGACCGTTTTCCGCTCTGGCCTTATATTTACCTGGCATCCAAAATGGGCCCTGTGGAGACTCTTGGGAGGGGAGGAGTGGGCATGGCCAGCCAGTCCTTGCAACTATTGGTTTGGTGAACCAGATATAAAATTAGCATCCTGTTCACCCGAACTGGCCTGAACCAGCTGAATCTCACCCTTGCTGAAGAGGAGCTGTAAAACTGGGTCGTTTCATTTTTAATCTGGAAAAAAAAACCCAATATTTTGAAAGAATCATGAGACAAGCCAGAGACTTGATCAGGAACCTCCTGAGATTGAGAGTAGGAGTCAGAAACAAGAAAGCACAAAATATGGGAACAGGAAGGCAAATGCAGAAGTTGCTTCCAGCAATGAAAGTTGGTCCATGCAGAGTTTAAATCTTCACCCACCCAACAGCATACACTGTTGAAGCTTTTCTTGCTCAGTATTGGCAATGATAAGATGCTTTTTTCTACTTATTAATTTTTAATAATAAAGATTACCATTGAAGTTCTTTCTCTTCTGATTTTTTAGTGTGTTGTTTCACAACCCAAAGAATCAGCACATAATTTCTGAGAAAGCACGAAGGACAATTTGAAGAATAAAATATTGCCTTCTCTGTAATTTCTGTTGCTCATATATAACTCTTTCACTACAGAGTTAGAAAGGACTTTGGAGATCTTCTAGTCCAACCCCCTATCTCCCATTCATGAAGAGATCCATTAACCATTCCAGACAAAGGGCTATCAAATCTCTTCTTAAAAACCTTGGCAAGAAGTTTGTAGGAACTAGTTCAAGGACAAAAAACTTTAAATGCTAGTTTAAGAAAGAAATACAATTAGTGTTAATCATAATTGTCAAAGGAGAGATCGATTGACTGTGATAAAAGATAACAAAGAAAATTTGCATAATAGATAAAAGGAGGAAAATAAATGTATTTGAGTTATTCTTATTTCCTCAATTATGACTGAGCGTATATGATCTTGTATTTATAAAATATGTTTAGTCATTAACTATATATATTTTTAAAAGTGTTTCCATATCATATTTTTGCAATCCTAATGAGGATTATGTTTTTTGCTTCTGAGCAGCAAAGCTCTTTTACTGTTGATAAATCAATTATATTTGATTCATTGCAAATATTAGGACGTCTCTTGTGTACAAGCAGATAAAATGGTAAGCCAGAACCTAATATATTTTTTTCTTATGTGTCTGGCTTTTTAGATGTAGCAATTGACTTAGATGTTTTTTATTAACTTCTTTCAATACATCTGCTAACCAAGTGTAATTCTTGAAATAGCATTTTTCTCTGTCTACTCACAAAATGAATGTATGCAAAATTAACTATTTCTACTAATGTTACTAGTAAAGTTTAATAAACATGTCACTTCTTTACTGTAATAGCTATGATCAATCTTTAATTATTCTTTTTCTTTTTTTTTTGCAGGATCCAAAAGAATAAGTGATAGTGAAATCTCGGACTATGATTGTGATGATGGAATAGGAGTAGTGTCAGGTAAAACATTTATAGACATATTTTTAAAATTCTTAAATATTATTTTTCATGATGAATGCAAACTCTTCTTTCTTCCACAATCGTGTCTGAATGAAAAGTTACCATGCTTATTTCTGCAATGTTTTAAAATAATTTGGTTGCTAATGAAAGAGTTCATATTGGTTATCTTATTTATCTGGAAGGATTTGTTTTCTAAAACATAAGACATGCAACTACATTAGAAAGCAATTCGGCCAGTGGTGTGAGTTTCCCTATCTTTAGGAAGGGTAGGTGGGCAAGGAGTGGGGCCAGGGTTAAGCTCCCTTTTTAGGACACTGAGTGCGTGACCTGACAAATGCACACATGACAAAAGCGCGCTGCCGAAACCGCGGTGAGAAAACTGCAACGTCATAAACACGCCCACAACAACGTGCTGACAAAACCGCGCTCACAAAAGCGCGATTTAAGTTAAGGTAAGGGTTAGGTTCAGGGTTAGGTTCAGGGTTAGGTTCAGGGTTAGGTTCAGGGTTAGGTTCAGGGTTAGGGTTAGGTTTGGGGTTAGGTTTAGGGTTAGGTTTAGGGTTAGGTTTAGGATTAGGTTCAGGGTTTGGTTTAGGGTTAGGTTTAGGGTTAGGTTTAGGGTTAGGTTTAGGATTAGGTTCAGGGTCAGGGTTAGGTTTAAGGTTAGGTTTCAGGTTAGGGTTATTAGGTTGTTATTAGTTCTTTGTTGAAGATGGGCTTTTGTTGGGACGCTGTTGTCGGCGCGCTTCTGCGCTCATTCGGTGCAATTTCAAACTCGCGG